TTTTTTTTTTTTTTTTTTTTTTTTTTTTTAACATACATAGTAAAAATACTATTTATAGATAAATTATAATTTTCCTTGAGATAGTTCCATTTCAGAAAGTTTTTAAATTTTCCACAAAAACATCCAAAATATACAGTCTTGTGCAACTACATACTAATGACATTGTATTGCAATGGCAAATGCAAAGTTTATCTAGAAAAGAATATTTTGCACTTAACCTAGAAGAAAATCTTGAGGAGCACATATCTGTGTTACTCAATTTTATTTCCAATTACTTTTTTTCTGTAGTCATCCTCATATCAAATAATAAAATTTAATTGGAAGCTAAATCAAATGGTATCCAGAAACTTGTTTGCTTTCTCAAGACGTATTTTCTTGACAAGCGTTTTTTAAGAAGTCCTCTCTCATTTGATATTTTTATATGTAACAGACGCTTGTTTTCCTAAAAAAATGCATAACTAGGCTAGTTATTCATTTATTCATACAAAAAGGCATAAATTCACCTAGGAAAAAACCCCCGTCTTTTATCAACTACAGATTGCTTCTGATCTATGGTTGTGGGAGGTAAAGAGCTGCAATTCATGCTCTTTTAAAAAGGTGGAACTGTCAGGATGCTTGTGTCTATACTAGTACAAGACTAGCCCTGGCATTTGCATTTCTCTTGCTCATGTTCCACTTTTGCTTTAAGAAAGTACTTCTGTATGTCTTTCACATCACTTTAACAGTGAAATGATGTTAAAAACCAGCTTTTCTATTTATACAGTAGGATTCTGACATCGGTCGTGTTTGATCTACAAGGCATTACTGTCAAACAAGTAATAAATAATATGGCATGTTTTTTTAAACAATGACTTGTCAACATTATGTTGATATTTGTTCATATCTAGTGAGGTTTTAAATTGCACCAGACACTACTAAGAAGTATTCAGTTTGCTGACCTTTTTTAAGGCTGGTACCTTTTGCATATGTGAGGTTTTCTTCTTCTCGAGATCTGTGGTGGTCTTTATTTTGTTGGCTGCCACCTGTCTGAAGCAATCAGCCGCTTCTTTCTCTTCCTCTGTACAAAAGGAAAATCCCATCTTCCAATGGATGGTGGAAGGTAACAGGATAATCAGTTCAGCAGTGATCCTCTGATGTCGCTGTGGGAGCCCTGTAAAAGCGGATTATCTGTGACCCAGATAAAATAATTAGAAATTACTTGGATACTTAGAAATAACTGATTTTCTAATCTCATTTCCAAAGTTAAAAAAGGCCTGTCTCTCAACGTAACACTACCAGATGTTTCCGTTAAACAGCATCCTTTGCAGAGACTAATCTGAACCCTAATTTTAAAGGATTACCTTTGATTGTTTTTTTATTTCAAATGCTAAACAGTTTGTGTTTTCATTTTTCCATATGTTCAAACAAAGTATTTATATAGAATTAAAGAAATTTTCTTCATTTTTCCACTGTAGTCCATCAAATATGATTTTATGTGACTTTTGTGTGTTAGTATTGCAGAGAAAAACTTTTCATTAAAATTATTTAATAATTAACTTGTTTCTCTGGCGCAAAACTATGTAATGGATGGGCTTTTATAAATTTAATAGATACCATGTGGTCTCTGTGCAAGGTAGTAGCTGTATTATGAACTAAGTGGACAATGACTTTATTAATTTAATTAATGCTACCAGGGTTTCCTGTTAATTAACTGAATGGTGTACAGTGATATGCCAATATCCTGGTGCATCACTACTGTGTGGATGCGATAGAGAGAAATTTCCCTTTATTTGCTTTGGGGAGGATGGAAGGGAAAATAGTTTAACAGCTGGTGTTCAGCAGTCTGTCTGGTGCACTATATGATGCCTACCACACAAATTTTTCCCCTTAGAAGTATTTTATAATGTCTGTATTTGTTAAGTGCTATGTTTTATTATTGTTGCAGTTTCTCCTTTTCACCTTCAAGTAGCAAACATATTTCACCAGCTATTTTTTGTTGTTCTTGTAAACAGATCCATCTCCACATGAACGTCTTGAACTTAATAATTCATATATTTTAACTATTTTTCTTAATGTGACTGATACTTACAGTGAGCATGTAGTAAGGAGCATTACTCATTTTGCTCAAGTCTTCTTTTCTTCTCAAAAGGACAAAAACATCCTTTTAAGGAAATCGGAAAAAGATGGAAATTGTACAAATCAATTTTCTGATATATTTATATATCAGGAACATTTTCAAGCAGTTAATTTTCTTTAGGAGTATCATTTCATTTAATAGTATAATGCAAATTGAAATGGAAACAATAAAAATGCCAGTGAAAAATTTAAAATTCTTTGTGTAATCAGTAAGTCAGACAAAATTTTAAAGGTTGAAATGCAAAATAATGAAAATGTAATTGCAGTTATTCTATTAATAAAACCAAAGGCTTTTTAATTCTTTGCATATTTTGTAGTGTTGATCCATTGCTGTTTTAATATACAGAGTGCACAAGTGATCTAGTTGTGCTAAAATGCTTTTTGTCTTTAAAAATAAGTATCTTATAATTAAAAATATTTGTAAAATCTTTAATCAGATAATCTATTAAATACTGTTTCGATTAGTGAAATACTAAGGGCTTTTCCTGTTTTTTTCAAACATGGCAGAAATGTAATCAAGGAACTATTAATCCTCATAATTAAGTTTAGCACAGAAGAAATTAGGATTGGAAGGGGAAATTAGGATTCCCAGCAAACGTATTCTTTACCTTGCTATAATAAAGTGTAAGGTATAAAGTAATTGTAGAGGGAGAGCAAAAGATATATAAAGTATAAAACTACATAGTAATTTGAAATTAGAGATGTAACAGAAAATAAGTTCATGTTAACGTTGTCTGTCTGTATCTTCCCCATTATTCTTATCCCTTCACCTTTTTCTGTCCCTACCTTTAATCCACCTATAGGTAAATCTCCTATTAGAAGACTGCGTAAAGTCCTGTAAATTAAATTGTCAGGAATTAGTGATGCCCTTGTCTTTGAATGGGATTTTGTTAACTGTTTAGTCTTTTGTATCTTTACCTTATTTTTCTCAAATAGACTAGCAATTGGTTTAACATTTTTAATTAATGTATCCTGACAGTCTTACACACCTATTTACCATCAAAACAAAATTTCAGTTTATTTAAAAAAAACTCCTTCCTGAGCTATTTAAAATGTAAGAATAAACTCAAGTGTAAGACACACTAAGTGGCAAAAGATCTCATCTGTTTTATTTAGATCACTATGTAGTTTTAGGTAAAGCAGGGATACTTCTATTGAAATTAATTATTTACAATATTATTAAGGAAAAGGGTAAGTTAGAAAATTTAGTCAAAGAGATTTTATACTGTGCAGAGAGTCAGAAATATCATGCCAAAAATACACCCAGTTCATCACTCAAGGAAGAAGTCCTTTTACAGCTCAGTTATTTTTCTAAATAGTAAAGGAAGTACCTTTAACCAATTGAAAGTAAGTAAAATAATGATGTGTGAGTGTTCTGGGGGCTGAGTACATTTTGTTTAAATGTTGCTTGTCAGATTTAGACATCAGACTATTAAAATGGCATCTGTGTGAGGAAGGTCAACAGCTAGCCTTCCTGAGAATTTTTTTCTTAATATTTTTGTCTTAAGAAGGTATTGGTAAGTATCAAGAAAAATAACACATTTTGTAATGTGTCTTCCTGTCATGCAGTTATCTGCACCTAACACGCCGTGGATTTTGACTGAAGAAAAGAGGTCTGTTTGCATCACCTTCTTTGTAGATGTGTTCCTAATTTGTTACCAGATGTTTTCATTGAATCATTTTCTAATATCTGACAAATACATTGGAAATCTATTTAACTAAATTTATCAGAGCATAGAGGAATATAGGAGTATTCCCTAGATATAACATAGTGTAGCTTCATTTTTCATTTTGCATACAATTCTCTGATTGAAGGATTTAAAGTTAAAACTGAACTAGTAATTTTCAGGCTGAACCTGATTGTAATTGATAAAATTAATCATATTATCTTATGTGAGAAGTCTAGATTAAGAAAACAATGCTAAAAAGTGGCCAAATGTAAACCCAAAATGTAATTAATGCCAAAAAGGAGAATTTCTGAAATATGAAGTACTCTTTCTATGAGATGTTCAGTATTTTATACTCTTCAATTGCTTACCTGTCATTTACATACACACAATGAAAGGATGTTAGGTACAAGGAATGAAAAAATGTGTTGTTCAGATAGAGGATATGTTGTCTTACACTTTCGGATAACAGCAATGGCTGCAAACCCAGGAGGGCTTGCAGGTTTTGTTTTTTTTTTCTCTTTCTGCTTTATCATACTTTCCTGCTGGTTCTGATATACTGAGTATTTGAAAATACTATATTAAGAAAGTGTGGCATAATGCTTACATTCTTCTATTGCAAGTATTAAATGGAGCTGTATTGATTACATGTCACTTTAAGCGAACACAGAAGAAAAATTGAACCAGAGTTTGTGGCTGCGTGCTTTGGAGTTGGTTCTGTGAGTTACAAATTACAGCTTCTCCTTTGGAAAACATGAATCAGTAAGAGGAAAATATTCTTTCCATGTGCTTCTTCCATGATAAATTAGTTCATGATGAATCCCATCCTATAGCACAGTTTGTTAAACAGTGCGTGTGATCTTTTTAAAAAACCTGTTTTTTCAGGCAGTTGGTTGTGCTAATTAAAAATATAGATGTGAAAGCTGTATTCCTCTTAGTAGCTAACACAGGTGCATTCATTTGCAAATGAATCTTAAGCTGGTCTGCAGAATTCCGTCGGCGCTGTTACATATGTCTCTCCATTCCTCGTGTAACAGTCTTAGCTGTGGCAGTAGCTTACTTCACTTAGAGTAGGCAAGCTGCTCTTGCAGACTTGTAGTAAGTCCTCAAAGCAAAAAACAATTCCTCATCTCCTCAGCAGAATCTGAAGCCTTTGCCCGTTTCCTCTTGTTTTAAAGTGATATGTTGTTAATGATTGCTGTGTTTATTTCCTTTAATTTCTTTTGCCTTTCTCACTAAGGTATGATTTTTTTTTCCTAGTTGCTTTAAGATGCTTATCAGTGGGTATGTATCTCTGAATAACCAGGTGCAGGAACAATAGTTGTTTCCAATCTGGATGATGACTTTGGGGGTCCAGATGACCCATCGTGTGAAATTAATCAGTTGTGGGTTAGTCAATTTTGTCTTGATTGCAATTGTAAATTTTACGGGATTTTTGGAGATAGAGATTACTAGGACTCCATAGATATGCCATGTTTGCCCATAGCAAGTTATTTTCAACTTTTGGATGAGTGCCAATTCTCCAAAAGATTTTAACATCAGCATTAGCTGTGAGTCTGGGGAAAAAAAAATCTTAGCAGAGATCTGTTTGTATTAATAGTAATCCAAGCTGATAGTAGATGCAGACAGCCAAAGCCTCTTACGCTGAACACAGTAATGCTGATGTTGTAGCAAAACCTTGGTATACGTGAAATGCATAATTAAGACAGATGATATTCTGGTTGAAAGCCATTCGTGGGACGTGTTAATGAACAGAACACCTTGTCGTTCAGAAGAATAGTGGTTATTCTGGTCCTCCTGTCTCCAAAAGGAGAAAAATTCATCAGTCTGAGAAGAAAGCCTTAAATAACAGGCCAAAACTCAACTGTGGCCCTCTCTCTTTCCTTCCTCTCCTCTCTCCAGAGGGGCTACTGAGTTTCCTGGGGTGCTGTGAAGTTTCACTTTCATGTGAAATGGTAAATTGGTTCATTCTCAAATGAAAGTACATTTCAAATGAGCCCAGCTGTTTTGCAGCACTGTTGGGGGAGGGAAGCTGTGAGGGGAATTTGGTTTCTTAAGTTCAGTCACCAGCACTTGCTAAGCAGCTAAACTTCAGAGGGAGATGTTTCCTCCCATTCCCTCTAGCCCTAGTTCACAGCTTTTAAAATGTGGCTATAAAGCTTTTTTAATTCTGAAAAAGTATCCCAGAAGCAAAGGATTCACTGCTCAGTCCCAATTCCTTTACTGTAAAGCAAAAGTATTCTAAAGTAGATGTTGGCATTTTAATGGAAGAAGAAGGAAGGGAGGAAGGAAGGGAGGATTTCCTTTGACTTCCTATCCAACTAAAATCCTTAGTATGTTTTAAAGGTGTGGAAGCTTGACAGTCTTTTCTTACGGTCATTTTCTGCAGTTCTTGTTTTGATGCTTTCACTTAGTTCATTAATTTAATGGGTTACATTTTTGAGAGAAGCAGACCCTGATGAGCATCTTTCAGGTCTTGATAACGTGCCATGATAACAATTAAAAAGGAATACAACCCCCAGTTCCCAACCTGGGATTTCCTCCAAAAATCTCAGATACAGTGTTTTAGGGAGCCGTACAAATGTAGTAATGAATAAACAATGTGGAGAAACATAGCAAGAAGCCATATTTAAGGTGTTATTTTGTTATGTTACTTCTGCACCCAAAGCTGTTTTAAGGCTCCTTTTGTGAAATGATAGCATAAACCTTTGCTAACTAGAAATCAATTATAATATGGACTAGCATGCTACTGCTGTACAAAAAATCATTAGCAATCATTGCTTTCAAACATACCAATATTATTTTGTAATACTATCAGGTAGACAGCTTTGAGTTGACCAGAGGATAATTCCTAGAGCTGAGATATTTTTGCAGTTATGGAAGGAGCTACAGCATCTCATGAAAATGCCGTTACAACCTCACCGAAATGTCATGGAAGTAATATCTGTGTTTATTTAGTCCTTTTTATTCAGAAAGCTGTGTGTGATTTTTTGTGGTAAGAAAAGGTGGTGTTTGTTCTGACGAGAGTTGGATGAAAAGCCAGCCCAAGGAAGCAGAATGTCCCTTGGCTGTGCAGTCAGGTCCTGCCCTAACAAGGAGAATGGCTTGTGTCTTGTAATGCTTTCCTGCCACCTGTGGCAGGTGAGGGGGAATACGCTAGACAGGGCCATAAGGTGGAGAGGAGAAGCAGTTTATCTATGGGAATCGAGACAACAGGCAGTATTTACAGCCTGCTGCCTCCAGTCCTGTCCTCTCTCACTATTGAGCAGTTGTTCAAATCCACCTAATGATGAGGCCAGAATGGTTGAGATAGTCTGCTGTGGGCATCTCCAGCTCTCTCACTATTGAGCAGTTGTTCAAATCCAAGTTTGTGCCTTCTCTGCACAAACAGGGAAGAACTTGTGCATCTTGGTGGCTCGGCGTGAGGAGAGGGGACTTCTCTCCTTTGCCGTAGTGCATCTGGAATTCAGCTGGGTAGGTCATGGGCAGAATGAAGATTTTTGCCGTTTAGCATGTGGTAAGGCATCTTGTTCCAATCTCACTATTGAGCAGTTGTTCAAATCCAAGTTTGTGCCTTCTCTGCACAAACAGGGAAGAACTTGTGCATCTTGGTGGCTCGGCGTGAGGAGAGGGGACTTCTCTCCTTTGCCGTAGTGCATCTGGAATTCAGCTGGGTAGGTCATGGGCAGAATGAAGATTTTTGCCGTTTAGCATGTGGTAAGGCATCTTGTTCCAAAACTCATCAGAGCTGGGAAGCGGATTTAGAAGGAGAAAATTTGGCAAGGGGAGTTGAGGCCACCTGTGTCTGGTGAAGCAGGGAAGCAGCTTCCTGTGCATTATTCCCCACTCACATTTCACCCTTCCCCTTCAAAGCTTTATGAAAGATGGTGGCAGAATCCCAGCAGTGCCTGCACTGAACTGGATGCACTGATGGCAGGAAGAATCAAAGAACGCAGTATGGTTTTATTGCTAGGTAGTGTTTCCAGATGACAGTGAAGTTGCAGGCTAATTAAACCACAGCCCTTGTGTCTCTGCATGGCTGGGACAATAGAGACTAGCGCTCAGTTTCATTCAAACGCTAGTGTAATCTGACAGGTGCATTATGTGCATGCCTAAATCAGTGCACAGTAAAGGGAAATAGCAAGCTGCCATGAAAAGGAGATGGAACCATGACAGATATTTCAGTTGCTGTATTTTGGACCTCATGAGTGATTCTGGGACATAATGAACTATGAAAGTGCATTGAAAACACTAACACTGCTGGAGTTAAAATTGAAGTGATACTCGCTTACAAAGCAAGCTTTTTGGTCAAATTCACAGTGCAAAAGTGAGAAAAAAGTACTATTGGTAGTTTTAAAAGTTGTATTTGGGGATGATCTACGCTTAAATTGATTTGTTAATTATAAAGCTTTGTGACTCATTAATCACGTTCAGAAAAGTAAAGTATGAATTCAATTTGCTGTTAGCTGCAGGGGTGCCTTCACTCCACACATTATGTAGTTTTTGTTACATTTTAAGAGAATAATTTTTATATTTGGTATTTACCTGTAGGCACTATGGAAACTGATGGTATATTCCTAGTGGTGCTGTTTGCATTATAATACTCATAAAGATAACTATTTTAAAACTTCTTAATAGCTCCTGCTTTTCAAAATACTACATCTGTTAATAGTTGCATTTTACTAAATTTTCCTGTGGTCATCTCCGTGGACTGTTCCAAGTCTGGAATGGGTGCTTGTAAAGAGTATGGCAAGAGTGTACTTTACACACGTTACTTCTAAATGTTGCATGAATTAATTGTAATACCTGAATTAATTTTAGCTGTAATAATGTTGTAAGTTTTTGTTGACATTCTGTGGTATGTGCTATCACATACAGTGATACATACAGAGTATAGTTTCACATCATGTTTTTAAAAATCATTTAACATACTGAGTAAATTTGCGCATATAATCTCACAGCTGTTTGAAACTAATATGGCATATGAGTAATATGTAACCTACTGGACTAATGCCAAAGCAGTGTACGCTAAGAATGGATTCCCTGCTTTATTTAGTTGCTTTCATAATGACATTTTAACAGTTAGGAATGTAAATAAATACTTTTTCATTGTGTTTTCTTTTCTTCAACAGGACACTACAAGTATAGAAAAAATGTCGAACTGTTGTGAAGACATGTAAGTGCTGTAAAATGTCTACATTTATTTGCTGAAAATCTAAAGGAGTAGCTGCTTTTTTTAACTGTGTGAGAGAGAAAAGGAACTGAAGGCACTGTTAGGATTATTTTGCATGGTACTGTGCCTTGTACTTCCTATCTCTAGCAGCAGCTCACTAATCTTTTAATATTGGTTGTACCCAAAGTAGCCTCACATTATTCCCGTTCCTTCCAAAGCCAGTGAAACTATATTTTCTTTCAAAAGTACAAATGAAAAGACACTTTCTGCTGTGTCTTGACATAGGTTTCATTGATTCTGAGGTTCTCGTCTGCTTCAAAAGTTGCCTTTGGTTGATTGACAACACAGATAGTTTCTGTTCTCCAAAGTTAAGTCTCAGCTGCATGCCATAATGAAAGAAAAGCTGTGTTTGTGATGCTGGGACAGAATTCATCGGAGTCCAGTAATGGATCCCCAGCCAACCTGCATTGTTCTAGCTGACTGAAGTGCTCCATGAGCGTGCTGTCTTTCACTAATAATGCTGTCTTCCACAGATCGAGGCCCCAAAAGCCATGGCAGCAGACCTTCTCAGAAGTTTTTGGCACTCGCTGGAAGATCCTGTGGTTTATTCCTTTCAGGCAGAGGCAACCGCTGCGAGTTCCCTACCACTTTGCCAATCACATCTGAACAGATGGATGGTGGGCACAGATGGGTCCTCCATGCTGGAAGTGCGTTACAGGTTTTATGATAATAGGACTATGACAGTCTTCAAGTCAATTAAAATCCACCCACCAATCGTAGGCATCACAATGTGCCCCCGGCGTTATTTTAATAGTGGTCTCGATTCTGTTCTGAGATTAATACAAGTTGTATGTTTAACTTTAGGCGTATTTACTTTCAAATTAGCTTTCCAAGGGGATTTCTTTAGTCTTTGAGGTTAATGCCGAAACCAAATGACTGGAATGCAGTCTTACTCTATTTGTTTGATACTGGCTCTTTTGACTTTTTGGTAAAGAGTTTTGTTTTTTGGTAGGAAACACTGAAGTTTACATTGGTTGTTAGCTTTCCCACTAAGTGTCTTATTCTGCCTTGATTTTTTTTTAGTGTTTTTATCAGTAGGTCTGTCTAGATAATACTCACGTCTTTTTTCTGCTACATGTGTTTAAAATTCCCTGATACTGCCATTTATTTACGGTATGCAATAGTAATCCTGCAGCACCGCACTATAAAAGGAACATTTAAAACTGAGGCAGACTTCTTCCTAAACCTTTCTCAGAGAGCTTTTTATCAATACATGTAAATGTATGTGTTTATATATAGAGATCTTACATCTTACAGTTATCTTTCTGCATAGATACGATCTTAGTGAAAAATGTTCATGTCTTTATGTCCACAAAAGCGATAAAATGTTCCAGGGTAAAATACGCAGATAGAAAGCATGTTTTCCCTATATCCCAAGGATTTCTTTGCAATAACTCAACAAAGAAGTTGTATGGTGCAAATACTAGAATGATTACTTTTTAAAAATACAGATTTAATTAGCATAATGTACCATAAAGAGGAGTATATTGTCAATAAAGTTATAAATTTTATATTTACTTTTGTTTAGTCGTGATTAGCTGGAATTGGTCTAAGTGTTTGTATATGGGAAATATATGTGAAAATATTTTAAAATATTTGTACCTAAATGCAGATGTTTGCTACTAACCTGTATGGTAAAGTATATTCACTGATTTGATAGGGTACTGTGTTGATGTACGATAGCTTGTTGTGGGCCCTTTAAGTATGGAAGTAGTTAACCAAGGAAAGCGTCCTTAAGATTACATCTGGTAAAATGACAATGATGCCCAAAGTACTGGCTCAGCTTTCCTGTATCTGGAAAAATTATGCAATTTATTATAGCCCTCTGTATCTATTCAAGTATCAGCATGTTTGTGATTTTTGAAAGTTGTGTGAAGTGTTGGGAGAAATTCACAGCTTCAGTGTTTTCAGTTATGCTGCTTACTGCGTTTGTTGTCTAGCCTAACAGGACTAGGATCCACCTTAAATGACAGCCATGCAACAGGATAATAAAAGGCACAAAATCGGGATGTGACATAGGTAGGCTGTGTTTGGAGAGAGTGGTAGTTTGTTTGTGAACAGTTCATTCAAAAAGAAGGGCTAGATTTGTCACGAGTGGTATTCATAATGGACTTTTAGATCAGCTCTTTCAAAATCTTAACACAGTCACTGCCAATGTTGGGTGCCCCTTTATGGAATTAAGAGATTTTGATGATCCGTTGAAAGTTCCAAGAGGTGCATCTTAAAGATCACTTGGATTTTAAACTTTTATAAACTTACAACATTTGAACCGACTTTACGTTCCCTCTCCTTTTAAAAACAGATGCAATATTTTCTTCATTGAAGTTTCAAGCCTAATGTTCAACCATTTTTTTTAACGGCATTTTTAGAGGCGGGCTTAGACTTTCTTTAAGATGGTATTGGCAGCAATATTTAAACAAAAGAAAGCTTGAGGGAAGTGAATGGAAAGGCTGGAGCAGTGCCTGAAACTAAAAAGAACGAGCATATACGTTATAAAGTAATGGCTGTATGCCCTCTTTTTTTAAGGAATTCCACTGTTGTCGTCTCCGTGAAACACATCGGGGAATAATAGCAGTTTTGTTTTACGTGCCAATATTTAAATCTGTTTCATGAGCAAAACACCGTAGTTTTTTTGCAGTTTTTCATGCTAATCCATTATCATAGTTAGCAGACCATACAGTTCTGAAGCTTATTAAGAAAGAGGACCGAGAATGTAACGATTCTTGATA